GGAATTCAGAAAGAAGCTTATCAGTGACTTGCCTCAAAAGAAGCAGCTGGACTGGTTTATATTGGGGGGGGTTGATTAATAAAAGTTAGTAATGGGATTAAAACCAAAGCCAGCCAAGCCAAGTGAAGGAGGTAGCTTCCCAGCTGGCTTTATTTAATTAGCAGCAATTAATATGTATTCTGCTAATATCCTTTAGGACTCTCGAAGACTTGTTCACCATGAAAGAGAATGGAGACGGAGCGCAGGAATACTTGCAAGCACCCAGGGTGTTTTAATCTGATGACAAGAGAGATTGCAAATTCATTTAAGAATGTGTTGATAAACAAGTGACAGGCGCGCTCTGAGGCCGACTTAGTGGAAACAATGGTAAAACTGACCAATGTTCTTTCCTTTGGGGGAGGGGTGCTTTTTTTGAAGCAGGGAAATGCTTTAGGAGAAAGGGTAAAAAAGACAAGAGGTTAAAAAAAATAGAAAGAAAAATTATTTCAAACTCGATGCAGCAGCAGCAGACACAGCAGCCTTTGCAAACACTTTAGCCTGCACATATTGAAGATTTGGACACGTAATGCTTCAGACCACTGATTTGTTATTTTCTTAATTCCCGCTCTTCTTCTTCCATGTGAATCAAACAGTCTTTTGTCCTTCAGGTTTTGATTTGATCGCTACTGTTCACATTTCACTTTTGTATTTTCCTCTTCCTATACCATTACTCATTGAGTGCCCCGTGAAATTACAATCGTACATTTTCAACTCAGCAACCCATTTGCAGTGCAAAAATAGGGTCTAAATAATGGCTGAATTAGCCCTACTGGACAGTTTCAGATGTAACACTGTAATAATTATATTGCAGGCTGGATTAGGATGCTATTATCATAATCTGGACGTTTACAATTATCTGTAATTTGCAAAGATGCGCCAGGTCTTGATTACAGCAGTTTTTTTTTTTTTTTTTTTGTATCACGCTAACCATCACTAAACAGTGACAGTAATAACAGCTAATTTTGCTGGCAATATAAGAGGTGCTGGGGTGTGCAAACAATTTCACACCTGGATGTGCTCACTCAACCAAGAATATAGAGAAAGAGCTTCTGCCCTGAGACTCAGAAAAATATTCTCCTCTGCTTCTGTTCAGTATAGGTTTCTAGACCCTGAACATTGCTTAAGAGATATTCACTGAGGGTAAGTTTTTATTTCTTGCATACTTTCAGGGACAGTTCATATTTCTGTTCTCATACTTTCAAAGCTGTATGTGTTGCTGTTGTCATTTATCATGGACTACAGTTTTGTTTTATAGATTTTTCAATCCTGACCTTTTATCCCCCTTTGAGAATAGAAGGGTTGTGTTCTGGTGAGTAAAGGAGACGCGTGTGAGAACGGGATCTCTAAGAACTCGATTTGTCTTTCTTGCTTTTTCTGTTGTTGATGTATTTGGTTCAGCGAGTGACTGGAGACTGGGAAAAGGACCAGGCTTCTGCAAGGTGTGGAGGGAGCCGGCTGGAGATTCCAAGCTAAAATCCTTTTGAAAATTGTTAATGGAAGCTAGTGCTAGGCGAATCCAGTGAGGTCGTTACCTGTGCGATGATTTTATGTTTCCAGGAGTCAAGAGAGCAAACGGTTCTCGCGGCGGGGCTCCTTAGGTATCACAAATCTGCGGACATTTTCAAAGGCAGGTGCAGTCTGAATCCCCGGGCTATACAGCCGCTTCGACATCTATCCTTCACATGGGGGAAAGTTTCCGGAATAACTGGCCTCTAAAAATCTTCAAGGCTGCTTTGCAGGGCCTTTGCCTCAAGCTGGTGTACCGTGGGGAGAATGGAAGGCAGGATGCGGGTACGGATAGCGCAGTATTGTCCCCTGGGCCCAAAAGGCGTGGACAGTGGTGTTAGAAGGGTACGGAGGCTGAGACGCTGAACCCAGCGGCGGAGCCAAGGTTACAAACCATTCTGATTTAGAAACACATCAAGAAGATTCCTTCCAGAAGTCGTGCTTTTCTATCTATAGATGACGCTGTTTCCTGACCCTTTCAACGTTGCAGGCAGCTAGAGGTGTTAAGTGCACAAGGCGAGAAACCTTTGGCTCCCCCACCCCAAGTGCGGAAAGGCGCTTCTCTGGTGGTGTGAACCTTTGGACTAAGTTGTGTCAAAAGATGATGAGATGCTTACTGGAGCCGAGGAGAAATCATCCCCTCCGCCATCCCCCGCAGCTTTTTTTTTTTTTTTTTTTTAATGTGAAATGTGGTCAGAACGAGGCTTTAGAACGCGAACTCTGCAACCTCCAGGGAATTTCTAACGTGGGGAAGCGTAGTGGGAACTGCGACTGGGCGCTGCCTTCCGCCCACGCCCCTCCTACCATTCCCTCCCACGGGAATCGGTTTACTATAGGGTCAATACATTCTAAGGAGTGAAATATTAACCCTTGAGATTCAGAGGAACCAGAAGAAGCCCAGTTCCAAGCACAGTTCTGGGAGGACCCCTTGGCAGAATTTCTTGTTTAATTAGATTCATGTTAAAGATACAGAGAGATCGATACCCACATCATGACAGCCACCTCCAATGTTGTTAACATGCATTTGCTTGGGTTTCAAAATTCCATGCACCAACAGTGGTTTGGCATGTATCTGGTGGATTTTTTTTTTTAAAGAAAAATTAGTGTTGGTTTCGATGTATGGTAGCTTTTTCTCTAACGTAATTTGAATAATTCAGCAAAGCCCCACTACCAGCTGTACTTCTGCAGCCTCTTCCATTCTTTTCAGCATTATAATTTTGGTTAATTTTCAATTTTAGGTCCTACGTCTCTGCAATTTGTGTATGAATAACAGAATAATTTCCCTCTTTTGTTTCGCCTTTCCTGTTCCTGAATCTAAATAAAGATGGCTTTTTAGTATTAAAAGTGGAAGAAAATTACAGGTAATTATCTTTGACGGTAAAAACGCTGTAATCAGCGGGCTACATGAAAAATTACTCTAATTATGGCTGCATTTAAGAGAATGGAAAAAAACCTTCTTGTGGATAAAAACCTTAAATTGTCCCCAATGTCTGCTTCAAATTGGATGGCACTGCAGCTGGAGGCTTTGTTCAGAATTGATCCTGGGGAGCTACGAACCCAAAGTTTCACAGTAGGAAGGGGGAAAAAAGAAAAGAAAACATTTTTCCTAATGTAACAATGCGAATGCTAGAAAATGACAAGACTGATCGGTTTTAAACCATTCTGAAGACTGACTGAGCGTGGAAGTTGCTCAACAAAAAAAGGAACGGGTATATTGGTAAGTAGTCTTTGCTTTGTGTCTAATTATAGTGACTGTCCTTTTGCACAACTGTACGTCGCTGTCATTATATGGAGCACTCTGAGTATCTCTATTGACTTCTGATAAATGGCTCAGTGGTTTCAAGGTTCATAATTTGAAGGATGCCCAGGTCTGTAGCCATTAATTCTCACAGTATGGGGCTTCCTGCTTGTGTGACGAAAGGACTTTTCATTTTCATTATTTCTGTGCTTTCCACAAGATCGGAAGGATGTATTTCATCCAGGATAGTGTATTTTTCTATATAGCTGGTTTGCAAAGGGTTTTTAAACATTAAGTAGTCATAATTGCTCATTTGCTTTCTGGTTGTTTTTTATTTCTTTTAGTCTTTCTTTTTGGTTAAAAAATGCCTCCAAACAAAGACAGATACAACTGTATTATTTTGGCTAGGAGAAGGGAAAGGAGAATACTCACTTTCAGCACGGGAAACTACCGAATGTCTAGAGATTAACCTGGGGATAGGTCATACTAATGTTTAAAAAAATTGATAAATGTGTAGAAATTACAACAGAAACTTAATAGGTAAAGGAAACCAAGAAAATACCCATGGCTACTGTTAAAATTTTCAAGACAAAGGCTAGAGGTGCAAAATGACATTTTTGCCGGCACTTGATGTTTCTATATAGGGCTTCCCATATTAGGAAATAGGACTTATTTTAAGAGTGATAGAAAATATAATTGGAGGGAGGGAGGGAGACGAAAGGGAGAGAGGGCAACAGAGACACACACAGAAAAATATACAGGACACTTCTGGCATTTTGTGGCTTTTACTCCATATATGAAAGAAGACAAAAACATACAAAGTATCTGTACAACTAAAATTCAACAATATATACAGAAATGTTTCTTGATATAAACGTCCTTATTAGCTTAGTGAATGCCACCAATTCACCTAGTAAAGGTGTCAAAGCAATAGAATGGTGATTTTGGTTGGTTCCTCTCTCTGTCTTTCCTGATTCCAGTTCAGGGTTTGGGGTTAAGGTGGGGAAAGAGTGGTTTTTATTATCATTTCTGCCCATTTCATTTTGATAAACATGCAGCATTCCTTTTGTGGCAACATTCTCATCTTGCAGCCGATTTTCTCCTTTTCTTTTGAGGAGGGCTGTTATGAGGGTTTTTTTTCTTCTTCCGTTTTGGTCAGTCTGAGACTGGTAAATAAAAACACAGGAGTTCAATATGCTTCTTTTTCATCATGTGATGTCTTAAACTCATTAAACAAGTGAAAACGCTGCCATGTTCGCGCAGATTCTTCTGGTGGGGAAAAAGTCTGTAAAAAAGTCGTTTTGATGGATACTCCCAAAGAGAAGAGGGGGTTCAAAGCCTAGATTCCCAAGGGGAAAGAGAAAATATCCTTACAGTGAGGGGTTTCTGGAGCGCTGGCATAGCAACCAGTCTCTCTCTCTGTCTCTGTCTCTGTGAGGCAAGATCAATTACTGAGGTTGCTCAAGGAGAACGCAGACAAGGTTAGGAGAGGAAAGAAGAAAGGTACCAGGGAAGGAACGAAGAAAGAAGAAAGGGAAGGGTGAGAAAGGAAGTGAGTGAGAGAGACAGAAAGAGCAAGCGCCCAGCCGGTCCCTCGCCACACGTAGAGTTCTCCCGAGCCTGCTCCTTCGGCTCGGTTTCGCAGATGCAAGCAGGTCCGCGATCCTCCTTGCCTTGTCCGGAAGTTTCCCTATAGTAGCAACTGTCCTCGGACAACTCACATCATCTGTGGTCTCTGCATCGTGTCCTGGTGTGGAGAGGAATACCAGTGCGAATAACCGGGCATGTAGCTGTTGGGCGGCATACTAACGCCCTTGGCCGAGGCGGAAACGTCCCACACCGGAGGCAGCGCCGGCGAGCGCGGCGACAGGGCCGCCGAGCCCGGGAGGGGGTCGCTCTCATGCGGGTTACTGCCCTGCTTCAGCAGTTTCTTAAACTTCGAGCGTTTGTTCTGAAACCATATCTTCACCTGAAAGGAAATTCAGCGATCGTTAGGTCCCCGCCCCCCTCCCCACTGCCAAACAACAACAACAGCATTGAATCAGTGCCTCTAGCGTCATTCAAGGCTTTGGAAGCAATATACCGAAAACCCCGACAAGTCTTGAAGTCTCCGCCTCCCGCCAGCTCTTTCTAGTCCTCCCTCACCTTCCCCCCCCCCCCATCTAGGTATCTTGTCTGGATACCTACAGTCTTTGTGATTCTTGAGTTGGGTGCTAACCCAGGTTTAAAAGAAGAGCATAAATAAGAACAAAATAAGAAAAAAAAATAAAAAAGATGAATAAGAGAGCTGAATGAGGTTCAAAGTCTAACGGGAATTTTCAAACAGAACACCTTTCTGATCAAAGCCATACAACTGAATGCACCTCCTCTGATAGTCTGTGTTTTGATAATTACTAACCCCCAAAGTTGGCTAGCTCTAAGCATGTACAGTGATCAAATGACTAGGAACAGGTAAACATTTATAACCAAACACCTTGAATATATCTCTGCACGTATTGCACATGCCATCGAGTAGGCATGGAGCATGTTTCCTCAGATAAATATATCCACATAACCCTGCAGGGATTAGGAATTGCACCTCCCTCATTTTTAACTTTGTATATTGCTTAGTCAAATTGTGGTCAACAATCATCACATGATTGTTAGTGTAGTCAAGAATAGTCAAAGAGCTCCTGAAAATTAAATGTGAACCAGGAACCTGGGATGGAAGCACATCTAGGCCGACATTTCAGATCTACTTTATTGGAAGAAAGCAATCCTATGGTATAGCTTCCTTTACCTTTAAAAATCCTTACTCACAGCAATCTGCTTTTCCAAGAGGAATACAAGTCACTGAGTAGCAGGAATCCCTTCATTTCAAACCCCAAATATTTCAGGGGCAATATGGCAAAAGAAAGCAGGCTGAATTGAAAAGAAGAGCTTAAGGAGCATCTATCTTAAGACAACACACAATCATTCTACAGCCATAGTCTCATAAAATCTGAAGTCCCCTTGCTGAATGAAGATCACCCACCTCAAATGGGGACTACCAGCCACCCCATGCAGCTAAGTTAACCAACAAAGACAAAAATGCAGCCGATTGCAACCTAGCCTTATTATCAGGGCTCTAATATGCCTAAGTCAGCCCTTTCCTATGAAGTCTGAAATGCCTGTTCCATGTGTCTTTTGATGATGAGAGAACTTCAGCAACTGAACTGAACTGTGGCTTCACCTGCTATAATTTTGGGAGCATTTCTCTTCGATCTCTAATTCTGCCACTGCCCCAAAGTCGCTGCACCAGGGAGGACCCTCAGCCTGCTCTGGCCCCCTCACCCAAGATGATTTAACCACTGAGATTAGGGAGTCTCTAGAAAAACCCACTTCAGCCATCCTAGGATGAATAGTTTGTACCATTGTGCTTCCTTTCACTAAATGCCACTGGAGCCTATGCCTAGCCCCTTTTCTCCCCCTCTTCATGATCTTTCTTTTTATGCCAATGAGTTCCAATTCTTATTAGCTCATAGGGCCCATGCAAGGATCCTTAAGAAATGTGGGCCTTATTCTGCCTCCTGGCCTGAGTGCCTTTTCCTCCTATATGTTTGTTCTTTTTCATGTTGGTCTGTTCCAGAATAGGACTCGTTTGAATTATGAGTTTGGTCACCAGAGGAGGCTGGGGGGGGGGGTTGGTTTGCAGAGGGTTGGGAGGATGTGCAAATCCAATCCAGTATTTAATACCAGGTAATTTATTCCAAACTGTGTTGTCCCAGGAAAGCGCATAGCTGGAGCAAAGGCATTTGTCACTAAGCTCCTTCCATCCTTGCTTGACTAGGCCAAGAATTCCTCCTGGTGTGCTCCCTGCCCAGACTGCCAGCAGGGTCAGCATCTCGGGGATACTTGGGCTTCCCGGGCATTACCTGTGTTTGTGTCAGTCCTAAGGAAGCTGCCAGTTCAGCTCTCTCGGGAAGGGCCAGGTACTGAGTCTGCTGGAAGCGATGGTTTAAAGCCTGAAGCTGCAGGCTGGAATAAATGGTCCGAGGCTTCCGAATCTTTTTCCCTTTTCCATTGAACCTGATTTCCCCGTTTTCAATCACTGTGGTTTTTTGTTGATCTGCAAGCAAAGGACACAGAACTGCGGTCACCCATTAGGCCACTGCTGCCATTTCCCTGCGGTGGCCTGGCCTGCACCAGGTCTCCCCACAGCCCTGTAAGGGTTTCTTCGAAGCGTCCCCACGCCGCCCTGGCCTCTCTGGACCCACGGTGCTGGGCTTCTCCCCGACCCTGCCTCTAGCGCTAACAATGCATGGCTGCTGGATCGAGGGAGTGTCCGAGGCCGTTAGGCAAATAGCCGCGCTCCGCAGCAGCGGAGGGGGCACCGCCGCCTCACTGGGGTGTGCCGCGCGGCTGCTCTCTCCGCCGAGCGATGCCCCTCGGCCTGACGTTACAGTGCCTTAAGCTGTGCTTGAGTCACCTAGGTGTTTACGCGGCTGGTTGATTTAATGTCACCAGCTCCAAGCCCGGTGCATCAAGTCCTCGCAGCGAGTTAGAAATGATTCTGCTGAAAGGGACCAAACCTCAAAACAACCAGCTGCTCAGATCAGCTCCGGAGCAGAGCTGCTCCTAGCAAGGCAACTTTGACCCCCCTCGGGTGCTTAGAACAATCCGCCCGAGGCTCTCTGCTTCGCCTCCACGAACAAAGGAGCAGCCAACATAGTATCAGAAACCCTGGAGGAGGGGGTCTGGTCAAGGATGGGGGTGGGGGACACCTCAAAGCCCGCGGGAAATAGCCCAATTGTCACCAGCTTAGCAAGAGCCCGAGGCTACGCCAGCTTCGCTCTGGGTCACTGAGGCGAACCGGACGCCCCACACAAAGTAGGCCACTGGCTGCCCAGCATGGGGTGGGGAACAAAACACACTCCCCAGTTTGGGTCCAGAAAAGTCCTCAATCCTGGCCAACACGGGTCACAGCTCGGTGGGGAGGAGGAAGGCAAAGGGGACACAGACCCAAGGGGCTAGAAAGGGCAATGTGGGTCAACTCGTCGGACGAAGCCTGCGCTGAGCTCGGGGCGCAACCCGGCCGGCGCGCTAGAGTCGGGGGAGCGAGGCGGGCCGCGGCGCGAGGAAGCCGAGGTCCCCGGCGGTGGGAAGGGCCG